GGCAGCTGTTCCCTCCCCCAACCAAAACCAAACCAAACCAAAACAAAACTCCAAGAGAGGAAATGGGAGGGAGGGAGATAGATTGACTGGAGGCTTATGTAATTTAGGAACGGGTCATGAATTCCAGTTTACACTTAAGCAAAGGGGAATAGACTCCTTAAGAGGGGGAACATTTAAAAATTCAGAACATATTTTAAAACCACTACAGGGGGAATGAGAATGCCCCTACTGTCTCTCATTTGCTGTCCCGGCCAAAGGTGACCTTCTAAGGCAAAGGCATGGCCTTGAAGGCGGGGGTGGGGGAACTACAGACCAGAGTGTGTTCTAGAAGGAGAGCAAGAATTACACCAACTGAATCACTTGTAATGAAATGGTGTACCTGGGGCAGGTCAGTGGGGCTAAGAGAAGCCGAGGTGGGGAATGGGTTCCAGGTAGAGGTGAAGGAAGACGATCGGGGTACGTAGGTATTGTTTGTTCAAGGCGGTTTGCTGAGTCCTGAATGGCTGGAACTGTCTTGATTGCATTAGGCTGAGGTTCCTTCTAGCTACTCTGTTAGCATGGACTAAGACTTTGCCTAGCAGACTTGAATGAATGGCAGCTGGAGCCCAGCCAGGTATGGGGTGGGTCAGCTCCACAAGAGAGAGGCAGATGTTCTTGGTTGCTGATGCCATGGTAACCTGCTTCCCCCACCCACCAACAACCCTGCTGCATTGGTCTGTGTTAGGTGCCCAGGGCATCGTCCCAGCTCTTAGAGAACTGTCTGGCCTTGGCATTTAGGCCTGCTTGAGACAGGCTCCTATCTTCACCTGGAGCCAGGCTGTCCAGGGCCTGGGAGATGCATTATATGCCTAGGATGATGGCATTTCTGAAGCTAAAATTGATCTGATGTGAATGAGTATGGGGACCATGGGATGGGATATTTGATGTTGGGCCTTATTAGAAATGTTTCCCACTCTGCCTTAACCTGTGACCTTGAGCCAGTGGCCGTGAAGGGCTTCAGACTGGCCAGGCTTCCAATAGTGATGTGCCTGGCCAAGATGCAGAGTTGAAGCAGAACTCCTTAGCTTCTCCAGGGTACCCTGACTTGTCATCTTATTTTGGGCCAAATGAGGTTCCTGGCCAGTACTTAGCCACTCCATGCCTACAGGGCCTGCTTTCTGGAAACCTGCAGGCCTGACTTAGGCCTGTCCAGGTACAGTGTCACTTGGTCTTCAGGTCCTGAGACCCCTTCTCCTCAAGACAGACAACTAATGACTGAATGGCCAGGGCCCCAGGGAGGTTGCTCATCTTTTTGCCTGGCCAATGTTTTTCCTCATAAAAGACCATCTTCCTTTATATTCATGTTCTGTCCTTCTGCCTGTTTCTGTCCACACAGAACGGGAACAACTTTTTCCCAGATAATTTTTTTTTCTAGATGGCCATATCATCAATGTGTTTGAATCTCAGACCAATGGTAATTAAAAAACACACAGCTAGTCGTTTTGAAATTCAACTGTTTTACATAATTGATTTTGCCTCCAGAGAGAGAGAGAGAGAGAGAGAGAGAGAGAGAGAGAGAGAGAGAGA